TTGTTTTTATCAATTTTTACGCTCATAAATGGGGGGGCAATTAAGGTTATACGGTCGTGAGAAAATATGAGTGCAAACGAACGTAAGGTTAGTAAACATAAACAAAATCTTACCAACTACAAGTGATCAAACAAAAGCCCACACGATAAATTACCATCGACATGATAGGCAAAGGGGGACACGACTTCTCATCGCTTAACTTGTAATTTAAAAATGTCTCACTATACCAAACTGGCATTACACGAGACCGGAATAATGATTAGGCGATCAAAAACAAGTGCATGCTCTAATCAAATCATGTCTATGATCCACGCTTTCATAACCCGCATTTAATTAAGATCTAGTATTCGGTCGAGGCGTTTCGTAACTTCTTTAGGTTAGTGACACACTGCACTGCAACAATCCAATTAAATTTTACTCAAAGAACAAGTAAATAAATTTAATTCTAAACATACAGGCACCATGTTTAAAAAATTAAAATAATATGATATTAATATATACAAAGAAGTAATTTACAATTCAATTGAACACGTGAATTCGATCGTTTTCGTGATCATGTTATTTAAAAACTAGCTTCGTCACAGAACATTTTATAAATAAAAACAGTTAATTGTAATAACGCTGGTTACGTCTTGCATAAAAAAATCACTTCCTAATTCAATCATGAAGAATCATTCATTCGGTTATTCTTTGTGGGAGACAGTGGCTTAATGAATCATAAACATATTTTAAGCTGAGTATATTACGAAAATATAAGAGACCTAATAATACCAAACATTTGGCAAGGGAAATTACTCATAGTTAAAATAGCAACCGCACTGTTACCATGTTTATTAAATTCGAACTAAATACAGCAGTAACAGTTAAAACGAACGTAGACGATCGCGCATAATAGAACAGATTTCTACAATGTCTCAATTACGAGTCTGTGTGGTCCGATTGATTATATAGCAGCCGTGTAATGGAAGGAAACTGTAATATTGTCGATATTAAATATCAGTTATTACTCCGATTGAAACGCCGTAACAACTTGTAATAGGCATGTTACCATTCAACGTTATTACTAAAGCAGACAGCCCATGGGTTATTTCGATGTTAGTTACTAGCATATAAAAGCCATTTGAATAATAAACACGAAGAATATCATTCCCAAACCAAACATTGCATTGCTAATAGAAAAATACTTCTATATAACTTTATTGTTATTAAACATCTTACAGTAACCGTGGGCTTTCACTTACAAAATATTCAAACAAAAACAATATGTTGCTCTTCCGAACAATATATTTTCATCGATTGTAATATTAATACTTGTCCTTAATGACCATAAACACTATAATCATTGTAAAGTAATCATCGTGGAGCTCGTTTGATTTACTATAAATAAAACAGTAAACGCCATTTACAGCTGTTAAGCTTACTAAAGGTCTTCGTAATGATGCAATAACTTATATTTTATGCAAGGCATAAACCATCAAAGTCAAAAAGATCACAGGCCTTGCGTCACTTTATCCAACCTCGTCTCCAGAACTTTCAAGAAAATTATTGTTCATTATAAATTCATTATACCTTAGCAATTACATGTAAATACTTTGATAACTGACCGGGAGTAATGTAATTGAAAAATAAATAATAATGAATATGGGCGTATTCTGATAAACATTACAGTGGTATTTTTTACAGTAAAATAAATTCTTACTGTAAAAGGTATCTTCGACGAAACACGAAGAAATGTGTACACTGTTCCTAAAGATGAAATTCATGTAACATTTACCGATGTAAAAGGAACAGAATAAATCATAAAGATTATGAGCAAAATATAATAACTGCATAACATGAATACGAACAGCGATGTTGTTATTCAGATAAATGCACGAGTACAGTTCTTAAATAAAAATAATACAACTTTAATCCCAATTTATCGAAATGAATAAAGCGAACGATCTACAGGACAAGCTCTCAACGATTATAAAGTTCGCTTAACTGTACAATCATGTTTAACGTACCATCCACCAAGAAACGAAATTATTACAACCTGCCACGAAGTTACTACATTATATGGCACTATTATATTGTCAGGACTACCTTCCGAGTCTGAGAACAACAACGCTAGTGAAATATAAAAATGGTTCATTCTAGAAAATTCGAGACGTTAGTTAAGTTTATGCGTCTGTTATGAACAGTTTTGGTGCCTACGCATATAAGGAATAACTTTTAAAAACCATAAAAGAGAGATTAATAGAACACAATAATTATCACAGATTTAAGACGGCTTAAATATCACTTTCATGACTAGGCTTTGATTACGCTACCTGCCGAATCATGCATGGTATTATGTTAATATGATAGGAATATTTAACAGGCAATAAAACGAAGTGTTACCCACACTAGTACACATAATTATATTTTGACTGACGCCGCTTCAGGATACGATCGATGTAATTAAAATAGTGCTACATTTGACGCTATTTACTTGTAGGCAATTAGGCTATCTAATTTAGTTGTCGCGATACAATTCGGTTTTCCCACTGAACCCAGCAAACCGACTAAAAATGGAAATGACTTAATACAATTTCAAATTGTCTTATGACAACTACGTATCAATCATGTGCTAATAGAAACACAAACAAAAAATAATGACGAAAAAAGCTCAAAAGCGGATTTGACGTGTACAGATGACATGGAATCTAATGTATCAATATTGAATCAATCGATATCTTTAGACGCTGCTTGATCATTGTAAATTTATCGATGATTATATAATGTAATTAATACTGTACTGTTTAGTTTGTTTAAAATAAACGTGAGAATACACTACTTAATTGGTGAAGATCAAATTGAAAAAGGTTAAAGGGCTAGAAAATTGCATTTTTTAATGTTAAGTGAGAAATTAAAAATTACCTGAAGCATTGATGCGGTTGAGAAAATTGCATTACCTTTTTGCAAGCGTTACAGAATTAAAATCGAGCAGTTGAAGCTAAAGCGAACAATGGAAGTGCTCTCGGCGGTGGTCAGGATTTATAGTGGGGCCGATATGTAGGTACACGCGCCGGTTTGTAATGACGACATGATTGTGGACAGTCGACATGGGGAAACAAGTAAAAATACACCCGTGATAAATGGAGGAGCGGCCGAGGCACGCGAGCGTCGTTACGGCGCGACTGATCATCTTCAGTAAAAGGTCACGGGGCTCCTACCACCGTCTCGAATCTCTTCTCGACATAATGACCGCATACCGCGAATCGCTTTCACTCTTTATATCGCTCCTTGAATTATTCGTCGTGATGTTTATTGAATTGATATGAGATTAATAAAACGAAAATATTAAAAATAAAATTATTAAAAACAAAAATTATGTATGAGCATATATTTCGACAAAATAAAGACATATCAGAAGCTAGGTTGGTTCTTAGAAAATATCTAAATTTCACATTTCTCTACAAAATGTTTCTGTGTTAAGAACCCCTTAATAGCATGTATTCTTATTGCATATATGTAGAAAACAAACTCCTTTTATTTTGTTAACAAATATAAGAAAAAGCCAAATATAATAAAAAAAATAAATGGGCCAAGTGATCTTTTTTACCAGAGGCGACCTATTTAAAATTAAAACAAAGCTTATACGATGACAATCGCTAAATACTTAATCATCGTCTAAACAATTTCTATCTTGGATCTTCGATGGTGGATCGTGGTAGCGTTACGGGTGGCACATTAGTCCGTCTTAACTGACAAACAGATGCGAGGTGCTCGGTCGCGATAACACCCGCAACTATCTGAGAAATGCCGATGGTAATTTATGGTGAAGTCGACCGACGACGTGGCGCAGCGTCTAACAAAAGACCAGACAAATGACCGAGATAATCACATAGTTAAAGCTCTTAGACCCCGCAGATGTTATAATGTGTTCATTATTTACCTACGACTATAGGCCTTTGAAACTATATTACTATAAATGTCATTAATCTTAAGGGTTCATGTAGCGCTTACAAAAATCACGAGTACAGATTCTCGAAAAACATTCTTAAAAGGATATCAGATGAGATCGACGAGTCATTTCGACAGTCGATAAACAATATGCTGCAGGAGTACATTTTTTATAAAAATATTAAACCATAATGATGACAAAGAGTTGTTTAGGAAATTACGTTTTGCATGGTTGGAGCACAACGTTTTGCTTTCTTACTCACATTTAACACCACGAAACAATAATTTAAGTTTTTCTTACTTTAATAAATCGTTAAACAACTTAAATTCGATAGTACTTTTAAGAGTATCCGACATTGTGAGAGTTCATGAAAATGTTATAATTCACTTTCTAATAGATTGCCCACTCTCTAAAGTGCATGTAGACACGTAAGTAAAAGTCGGTATTGATTTCAGAACTTCATTGTACATCTGTGGTCTAAATACATAGATTTACGAGTTAATAAAATATTTGTTTTTCTATTAACACTGACATCTGTTACACGTAAGGCGAGACGCATCGGTGCGAGCGACAAATGCCTTTCAAATTCCGAAAGCGCACGCGTGGGCGCTTCGCTTCGGCCGGGGACCGCGCTCGCTCGTCGCAGCGCGGCGCGTCGCCTTAGTCCCGGGGAGCTCTACACTGCGCTACAACGCGCGCCCGCCCACGCTTCTAAAGATTTATAACATTACCCATATTCGGCCTACGAACGGCGCCAATTCGACGGTTCAAATTAAAAACACGCCGCAAGTGCAAAAAGATAACACGACCCGCATTGATCGATAGCCCGGCGGCGTTTGATTTACGCGCTGCTCCTATACGCGGGCGCGCTTATTTAAAACGGACAAAATCAATCATTGGACATTCCAGTTAACGCCATCGCGCTTGTCAAATCCAAAATTCTAGTCTCTTGAAAAAGATTGACATTTGCGTATAGAAAGTCAAATAATATTAACAATGCTTTTGTAAGTCCATGTTACACCTTTACGTCCAAATAATATTGATTGTAAAGAAATGTTGAAGATGAACTCACTCTGTCACTTTGCTTTCGGGCGGAATAGCCCGGCCCGGTATTAATATCTTCTTATGTAACACACCCACCGCTTCGAAATTCTGCAACAACAAAAAATCAAAAA